TTGGCCACTGCAGCTCCAAATGCACAGCAACTGCCTTCCCATCTGGAGGGATTCACATCTTCTCCGGCCTTCTCCATTCTCATTTGATCGGTGAGAAGACCCGAAATTTTAAAACTACCCTAGATCACTTCTAGAAGATACAGATTTAATTACTAGCCGCTTCTTCTGAGCATCCTAACATGCGTGGTCGAATGCAGGAAGGAAATTGCGAGTCCGACTGTTCCGAAACGGCAAGGAGTTGCCCTGGCTCCTGAACGACGACAATTATGACTTCAATTTCCAGCAGGCCCGAGTGCTTCGGGAACCAGTCACTGTGTACCCTGGAGATCAACTCACCTTGGGCAAGTTCTTCCTAAAATATGATTTGATGGAACCATCCAAGATTGCGTTACCTAGCATTTCACTTGTTTCCAGAATGCTATTACAATTCGTCAAATCGGAAATCGGTGACCGTGGGTGGTTTTGGAACCCAGGAGGAAATGTGTCTGGCATTCTTTCAGTATTATCCAGCTCAGAAAATCGCCTCTTGCCTCAGCCTCCCCAATTACGAGAAGCTCTTCACTCTGCTCCGCATCTCCAATGTCTGGCTCGACTCGTGGGTGCTTCTTTCCCTTTATGATCCCACGCCATGTAGGTCCTCGACTGTTTCCGGGACGAATGTTTCTCAACAGGAAAGATGGCTACGAGTACATGGTGTCAAACAACGGGAAGAACCAGACCTTGGTGGACTATCTCGATGAGCTGGATTGGTCGCATTTCGACATCGAAGGCTTGCAACGTTTACTTCGTTACGATCCTCACAACGAGTTATGCAGCAACAATGATGGCGATCTCATCCTCGTGAGGGCCTTCTTTAATCGTTTAACCGCTTCACAATCCACATTAGTCAAAGTGGGACTTCTATTACCGAGAGTTACTTCTCTAAATGCAGGCGCAATAAGCCAAGTCTCTGCGAGCTAAACCTCTGCGAAATGTGACATTAAATTTAAATAGTACCTAGATCACGCAACGACTGTATTGAGAACGAAAAGCCTATCTTTTAGATCCTTAAAAAATATATTTTTAAGGATCTTTTTTTTATTTAAAAAAATTTTTTATTCTTCCTATAAACTATAATGGACAAGCGATAAGATTCATATAGTGTTGCGAAAGGGCGCTTCTTTTATGGAAGGCAAATGAGAAAAAGCAATTCATGTCGTTGAAGAGTCTGGTCAGAATGTTGAAACCTCTTTTAATTAGTGGTTCTTTAAGAATACATGGACTCATTTGTGGGGGGGGGGGGGGAAG